CGTCTCTATCTCTGCCTGTGTGCAATAATCTATCCATATATGCCGTCACTTCTCGCCGGTCTTATATATACGAAATAGAGGGCGTCTGGTAAACACTCGAGCCTTCATGAACGTTCTAGATACTCATTACGTGTTACCAGAGTCACGTGAATTCCGCTGTCGTAACAGTTCAAACAAAATAAGTGAATGATTTTAATTTTCTCAAATATAATAAAAATTTTCCATCTCAACAATTTGACTGAAAATACAGTAACTCTAAAATTCTGAACTCTGTTTTGATAATGAAACATTTGCTACCCCCAGTGACTCAGTGGTAAGCGTGCAAAGTTATGATGCTAAAATTCGGGTTTATATACCCGTAGTGGGCAGAGCACAAATAGCCCACTATGTAGCCCACAACTAAACCAAATTTATCGGTTGAAAAACTGCCATTTTTTTTACACTTTTATAACATAGAAAAATATGTGGTACATTAAGGTTAATTTTTCAAATTTCCGTGTAGATGTTCTGTTCTAAGCCTGTATTCTCGTGAAAAGTTGTAAACTTGAAATAATCCTTGCCACTGGCTAGTTTCATCCCACACTAACTGTTGTTGAGTTTATACTTGCTTGACCATGCCTTTGAAAGCAAATAATAACAACAGTGGTTTAGGAAATATTTGCAAAATGGAGGTACTTGGCTAGATATGCAGCAATGAGAGATTGTATAAGGGGCTGCTGAAAGCAGCTCCCATGATTCCAAAGGCAGTTCACTACAAGGGGGGGGGGGGTCTGAGGACATGTCTTCCAGAAAATTGATATAATAATATAAGTGAAATATGTAAAAGAGGGGATGCTACAGCACCTCCTGCTCTGATGCATCTGAAAAAATGGTGCTGAAGATTAAATAAAGAGGTGACATCATATTTTAGTAATATATAGGAATGTGTTAAAAAATTAATACGATACTTTACATAGTTAAAATTGTGTAGGAACTTTTTATACAGTGAAATTTCTAATTCTGTATATATATTTTATAAAATTTTCAAACGTGACATATAATTAAGGTTATTTCTCTAACAAAAAGTTGCTAGCTCATATCAGATCCCGATTGCTGTACCAAATATTATTAGAAGAGAGAATGTTATTGTAAGCTACATTAATCCAATAATTAATGATTTGGATCGTTGTTAGGTAAAGAGTAATTTTAGCGTTGGGAAAGCGCCCCCTACTGACTGTTAAAAATGTAATATTGAGTTACGTGCCTCTTTATTCTTTTATATATATATTAATGAAAATATTTATGGAAACACACAAGCGGCACCTACAAAGGAGTCACAACTGGATGTTGAATTTATTAAAGTACAAAATTTTATTACAGAAAATTCAAAATAGAATCGAATAAGTAAATCCAGGGGTGTCATTTCACCAACACCACATAGGTTGCAAGACCACCGATAAAAACTTAACTCGAAACTAAACCTACTAAAACAACGCAGGTCTATGATATATATATAATATAAAAAATCAAAAATAATGCTTTTCGATAAACTTTCCATCGACTTAATTCCAACATGTGAAACCTATTGTATTTAAAGAAATAAAAATATGGTTAACAAAGACATGAATAGTGAGGCAGTGGAAATCTGACAGTAAATAGGAATTCTTTTTGTTTTCACCTGTTCTTTTGTAATTATAATTGTATTTTATTATAAGTATGAACTACTTATTTTAATATTTACCAAAGAACAATAGCAAACCAAAATTGTACTGTATTTTAAAGTACGTCCACAGCCCTAAATTATTATTCGAGACAATAGTCATACAGTTACAGTTATCTTGTAAAGGCTATAGCATAAGAACGAATTTCTAACGACTGAAATATGTAATAGAGTGATGTTTCTAATATTTAGAGCTGTTAGTAGTTGTGTGGTTGGTAGGTGTAGAATATTTAATAACTAAAATACAAATAAATTAGACAAGTTGTAGCCATGTATTTGTAAATGCTAATATTTTGATCCAGCGCTTATATGGAACTGTTTTGCATTACGGTCTGACTTTGTCAGGATCCAGTGAATACAGACAGCCGCTTTACAGGAGTCGCAAACAAAGCAAAGATGTCGCAAAATATTCACAGGGACCATGACTCCTAAATGACACTTCTGGTAAACCCTTTGCTTTTCATAAAGCATTACACCTTGTTTTCAGGATGCCATACATTTTATCAATGCATGATTCTGGAATATTGTTCCAAATGTTTTTTATTACTCCTACCAATTCAACCAAGTTGTTTGGCGGCCTTTGTATCTTAGTTTATATGTAAACTCATACAGCCTCATAAATGTTCATATCAGAACCTTGCATAGGTCAAACCATGGATGGTTGTAAGAATTTCTTCGACTTATTTACCGTTAAATTCTCATTTCATTATATTTGCTGTATTCTTGGGATCACTGTCTTTTTGGAAGATGGATTCTCACCCCATGAATTGTGTTCCTGAGGTTGTGGCATAATTAATAAGAATCGGCCTGTACTTATTAGCATTGAGGATGACATCAATGTCACTTCAGAATTTCCAGCACCTACTGAAACCGGGAGTCTTTCCATAACTTCTGCTTGAACGACAAATGTATTGCGAAGTGTCCATAACAGGATTACATTTTGATTGCCTCTTATCAGCTATAGTAATAATATTAACATTATTTTTTTATTCAAATATGTTATTTTAAAAAACAAGTCTACTTTAAAACCACTACTCCTATCAATTACCACTTTGAAAGTACTACGATGTTTTCGTTGTTTTCACCAAATGAACTAAAATTTTTATTCTATGTTATTGAGCAATACCACAAAATATGCATGTCCTTTATGCTGTGGGTACGTTATAAAAGTTACTGGCTGCTTTCCTTCTGTTCAGTAATCCAAAAATAGGAACTGCGGCACATAGCCTAAGTAGCTTTACTGAAAATTACAAAAGTATCGATACTTTAATGTATTGTAAAACTAATATTTGGAAAGAAAAAAACCTGTAAAAAAGTCAGAAATGGATAATGATCAGTTGATAAGAATTTAGTTTCGATTAGAATAACGTTACAGCAAGTACTTAGCAAAATCACTTTATCCGTGAGTTTTTACACGAAAAAAAAAAGTTGTGCATAAGTGTTTTTCCTTTTAAAAAATCGGTTCGTATTAGTCAATAATGTTACCAGTGCTATCGAAATAAGACATAAAGAGAAATGTTTTTTTTATATAAAATATAGAGTTGAAACATAAAAAAATCCATTAATGATATTGATGATTATTGAAGTATTAACCTAATTAATAATGATACTGATACTTTTAGATTTAACTGATATCAAACGGGTTTCTAACAACAAATTTTAAAAAATTATAAAAAGGCTAAGTGGTACTTCAGTTGTTGTGCGGTGTACTTAAAAATCAAGAAATATTTTAAACCGAAAATATATATACAGTTATACACACAAGAGGGAACTATTGTCGAATGACAGCGAAAGGACATGGGTTCATGGCGGTCGGATAAGATTTGAAAATTGGAAATCTGAATGTGTTTTAAAAATGTAGGTTACCTTCCTTGTTTTAAAGTAAAAACAGAATAAATTTAATTCACATCAATGTTGAAGCAAATTCAGATGGGACTTCGTGCGTTTTTGTTGTTGGCATCGAAGATTTGGAATTTTATTTGCTATGTTTTGCGAAAGCAAATAAGAACGGTAAGCCTAGGGCCAACACAGTAACAGTGAGTAACACTCGCTGGAGGAAGTTAATTTAAAGTTTTAAAATTTAGTATATCAGTTGTATATATATACATATTCATATATATTATCAATAACAATTAAATATGTACAGTCGAAGGTTTACTTCAATATTTCATTGCATTTTATTTTTACACTTTCACTGTTCAATAATTTATTTAATAATTTGTAAACCGTAAAGTATGATACGAATTATGAATACCAAAAAATATGATATTGATTGGAACATATATATATATTAATAACATATGCCTTTAAGTTAAGTTTAATTTCTAAAATAAAACTGTAATTTGTAAAAGAAGTAGCTGAAAGATGTTTGAAAATATTGGTGTTAGTACTGTGATAGTTGTGCTGCTATGAGGCCACTGGGGACTCAAAGCTTAGGTTTATTACAATTAGTTTCTGTTATAATTTATTTTCAAATTACCTTATGTTAAGGTAATTAAAAAAAATTCTCGATATGTAGCAGCATCATTATTAATATTAAAAATTTTAGAAAGATTATCAAGAGCTGGGTTATGACAGATTCCTCACCAAACATTAATAATCCAACAATTAAAAGTTGTTTTTCAGCTTTCAGTGGCTACAAGGCTGAGAAAATTATTATTCACATGGGTGAAATACTAATTAATTGGAATTTAAGGTGGTTGAATGTGAGAGAAAGCAAAATGTTGTTATGGAGACCAGTTAAATTGGACATTTGTTACTTGTGGAGTGCATGAGGGATCAGTGCTTGAGTCTTTGCTTTTTTTACTTATAGTAATGATATTAACTTCTGAGTAGAGAAAACTACCTACTTAGAACAAAACTGTTAATAAACCTAGAGATGAGTACAATTAATTAAATATATATTTATTATGTATAAAGATGCATTGTTTCATCATTTGAGTACTCTCCATAAACCCTGTAATATTTAATATGGTTGAATGGTAATAAAGAAATAATACAGTATGCCTTACTTATAGAACATGCAAACATAAGCTGTTAGTTTTAAGTATTGTTGTAGATCTAATATTTGTCAAGCAATGTAACATCAGTATTACTGTGTATAAGCAAAACTTTATACAGTCCTTTCTTAAAAATGTTTGTGTGAATAATGAAAACCCTTAAACAGCTCCAATAGTGTAACTTTAGAGAAGCATGACATCTTAGATAAATTGCTATGAGATTTGTTACTGTTTAAGTCGCATTAAGTGTGGAGTCAAGTAGCAGGATATTTCCAATAGTACAGCCAGAAAATAATGTTTATGAAGATACAAAATATTAAGTAATAAATTCAATTAATACCTGAATCATATAATAATTAGTTAGAATATTGGTTCTGTAAATAAAATATAATAATATTAAATGTAATACAAAGAAAATGAACCACACTATCTGGATTTAGATATCAGCATCAGTAATTAGACATTAACCAGATGCAGTTGTTAAATAAAATGGACACTTTGAACTTATAAACTTTCCATTTCCATATATGAATGTTCCAAATAAGTTATTTTATAATGTTTGATACTCACAGCTTATTATATAAATTAGAATGTGTTAAACTTTATTTAAGTTTTTGGATAGACCTCGTAGACTAGCTCTTATTTTACACAAATGATTTTTAAACACAATATTTATTAAATTATGCAAGAATTTAAACAGTGTTATTGCTACTAATTATGAGGTTAGAAGTTTTAGAGCATACCAAGATCTTTTAAAAACTTTCACAGGTACATTTTAATTAGTTTGGGTAATAGTGAACTCTTTAGTGTATTGACCATCATTGGTTTTACATCCTGTTAATTGAAGCATTATTATGTATAGCTAATACTAACTACATATAACAGATCCATACATAATATGACATTATGTTATTTCAAGATAAAGATTCAGTGATCAACATGCTAAATAAAATAATAACATCTATGATTTATTAGTAGCACAAAGTTTTGGCCTTAAGTCTTTTTTCAGGTGCTTAGTAGTCTAAGCTTCAACATAATAGATAACAACTATACATACATATATATATATATAAACCAAAAAGAGCACAATGTAATTGAAATTCAAAAACATGCCTCTGCTACCATTTCTTATTGTTGTCCTTAAGTCATAAACATGAAAAGAACAGAACAAGCAGAGATTATTATGTAAAAATACCAAGTATAAGTTATATGTCTTCTTAAAAATGTTGTTTAAATGAACTACTTTAAACACAATTTACATAAAAACAGATTAAATCTATGAGGTTGTCTAACACAACTACTCTTACATTAACTAACCTCTATCACTTAACAAAACACATGAAGCAGGGAACAGGAAATAATTACGTTGAAAATGTTTAATAATAATAAGACTTAGAAGTGGAAGCTATAACAATATTAATAAAGTAATTAACAAAAACTAAAAACGAATGTAACTTATCTAATGACATAATACTATTATGATGTTGTGCCAAGGCTTAGATCAGCCTGCCATCATATATAACTAATTAGCTTGACATAAAAAATAACAAGATATTATATCTAGCCCTTCAAGGCTGCCTCCTGTACACTCCTGAGAAAAAAATAAAAATTTTAATCAACTGTTTAGTTTTAAGGAAATCACCTATTCCCCTCTTAAACTTTTATAAACTGCCAGCTGCAGCTCATTCTGTAAGCTGATCACCCTGTTAAAAAAAATATAACTATCTTAACTAGAATCTAGCCTGTCATTTCCTAATCTTAAATTTGCATCTTTTTTGTCCTGTTGTTACCAGAATACAGTACAAAGAAGTCAGAATCTTTTATCCTATGGATTCCTAAATAATGTTGTGAACCTCCATCTATGCCTGTACACAGTAGTCCATATTTGCATAAAGAGTAATACATCTTGTCACTTGTAATCAGTATGGCTATAAATGCATTGAATTTCTATCTGCTTTACTACTAGCAATATAACACTTCCCCATTGGCTTGAGTGACGTACCCATTAATGTGTTAAGTTCCTTTTCTTCAATCATATTGTTGAATGGGTTTCCATTGATATTAAATACGTGATACAAATTATAATAACCCTTCCACTTGCTATAATTAAATGTAATTTGCTTACGATTTATCCAACCTACCAATTGCTTCAAGTTATTTTGTAATATCTCAACATCCTCAATACAGCTAGTAATATCCAAGAGTTGAAAATTGTCAACAAACCTTACTAATTATGCTGCTGTCAACATCATTAATGTAAATACCCAAGCATTGATTCTTAAGGCACACCATATAACAAATGAATCCAGTGTGAATAAACTCTTAATAACCACCTTCTGCCTTTCCATATGAAACTACATTACAATCCAACTAACTAGTCTTTCCCCAACCCATACTAATGTGACTTTCTTAGCTTATATTCTATGCTGCACCTATTTGAAAATCTAAGTATACCAAGTTTATACCCTTTCCACCATCCAGATGACAAGTTAAATCATCAAAAATAAGGTTAATAGATTTGTAGGACAAGATTTCCTTTGGTGAAAACCGTATTGGTTTTCTTTTATGATGTATTTCAAAAATTATGTCACATACCTTCTTTTATCGGTCTTAACTTTTTTTCAACTACAAAAGTAACACTAACTGGCTTAGAATTTTCCAGAGCAGCTTTTATTACCCTCCTTAAAATCAGGAGTAACATTACCCACCTTCCAGTCCTCGGGTACTTGTCTACTGTCTATTAATTTATCGCTTTCTTGTGAATATAAGCTGGTATAACTGGTGATGACATTCATCACTGCTTACTCTTAACATTTAGAAATTATAGCTGTGTAAGAGTTCAAAGTCAGAATTCTTTTACGTGCAACAGTTGGAAAAATATTTAAGACAAATTTAAAATGCCATGAAGCCTGAAATGAAACCACTTTTTAAATAATTTTTGTATTATTCAAAAAAAAATTGTGGTTTAACAGCATACATTTTTATACCAGTTAAGTAACCTTTGGTGTAATGTTAATTTCTGAATATTCGACCTCTAACAGAAAAAAGTTATTAATTATTATGTTTACTTTATGTTGTAGACTGTAGATTATGTTAACTTGAGATCCATAATAGAGGAGAATTTTCAGTATCTTAGGATAAAAAGAGAGGGAGAGAAGTCTTCTGTGCTTTAAATCATATTCCATTTTATTCATTTGATATTAAGCTTTTGTATTGTGGCCTAACCCTTGTCAACAGCTTTTCATGTGTAACAGTGTGCTTCCTTGTAATGGTTTTATATTTTCATTTCTGTTTTGATCCTTTGATTTTTCAGTAAAGACTTAAGGAGAAAAAAAAATGATTGATCTGATAGTGGTTGCAGTATCTCCTTTTTTTTTTTCCAGATAATTCAGCATCAGACAGTGAGATACGATGTCATACCCTTTTCACCATTATCCAGACATAGACTGAGTAAGTTGTCATTTATACATATGAATAGTGTTGTTTTCTATGGAAGAATATGCAGGAACAGCATAACCAGTACCTTTTAATGAATAGACAACAAAAATATATAAAACATTACACAAAACTTGCTTACTTCTCATAAGTCAAATGGTTTTATTTGTGTAACTTACTGTACGTATAGTACTGTTAAAGAAATAAACAGTTTCCGTTGCTGTTTTATTATTTGTTTGTTACATGACATATTTGTAACCATAATAAGAGGTACTCTTGGATTGAGACGGTCATGGTGTGGGATGGTGTAACAACTGGAAAAGGTTGTAGAAAATGTAGGAGATTTCTGAAACTTTTATTTTCCAAAAAGAAAAGCACTACATATGAATAAATCATTTTTATGTATACATACTCATATATGTTTACTTAAAATTTATTTTATAGTCCACTTCAGAATGCAAGAAAGATTATAAAATAAAGAGGCCCAGTAATCGGTTAAGTATTTATTTCAATATTGATATCACTGTCGTAACATTGGAGTTGTTCCTCGGCAAACACTGAAACAATTTTTTTTAGTTTTTGCTTGCACTAACACATCACAACTGTTGACTATTAATTAAAGTTTATATTAAGTCATTAGATAGGGATCCACAGCCAAGTTTTATAAGTGAGAAATATGACACAAAACTGTGTTTAAAAAATATTTTTTGTTTTTTGGCTGTACAGCAATTTCAATGTTGTGATAGAGCTAGTACTATTGAAATAAATACTTAATCCTGAGCTCATGCCTCTTTATTTTATTATACATATGTGATTTTTTCCTCAGTTGTGTGGATTTATATATATATATATATATATTATGCCTTTCTACTCTTGTAAGCACTAATAAGGCCTATGTAAATATGACTTTCTCATAGAAATATATTCTAAACTTTATAAATTAAAGTGTAAATTATACAGACCTGCGAATTTGAACTTCATAAAAGTTGTTTTGGTTTTAATAATGGATTTTCAATAATTCAGCTAAACAGATTTCAAAAATAATAATAATTTTTTTCTATCATGTAAGGATTTTTTTACAAATCAGGAAGAAAAAACTTACTTAGATCAGATTTACAACAAATTTGCCACAAATATAACAGATTATGTTTGGGTCATTTACACAACCTCTTTTTGCAATAGCGACGAATGAATAATATTGAAATGAAAAAAAAATAATGTCAAAGTACACACACAAACAAATACTATCCAGAAATGACACATCATGTGGCCTGTTAACTGTTTATATACTAGTGGTGTGTTTATCGTGGGTTCTAGAATGATCGATAAGACTTTCACGTCGTGATTGGTCTAGAGAAATCTATAGCTAGTGGTTGTCAACATTTTAAGCATAACAAAATGTGACCCGATTTCAATGAAAATGATTTCCTTATATAAAAAGTACATATGGTTCCCAAATGAGATATCAAGAAACATCAATACAAGTAGAAATAGTCTCTGTAAAACCTTCCTTCAGCAGACAAAACAGTACTTTTAGCTAGAGTTTTATTATTGTAATAAACATAACTATGGTAACATTATTTATAAACAGTAAACATAACTATGGTAACATTATTTATAAACAGTAAACATAACTATGGTAACATTATTTATAAACAGTAAACATAACTATAGTAACATTATTTATAAACAGTAAACATAACTATGGTAACATTATTTATAAACAGTAAACATAACTATGGTAACATTATTTATAAACAGTAAACATAACTATGGTAACATTATTTATAAACAGTAAACATAACTATGGTAACATTATTTATAAACAGTAAACATAACTATGGTAACATTATTTATAAACAGTAAACATAACTATGGTAACTATATTTATCCTTGAGATTTTGTTTTCAAAGAACAAATTACAATGAAATTGAGGTACCTCTAAAACATGTGATTAGCCAGGATTTGAAAACTGTCCGTTCAAGATTTTTTATAAAGGTGAAGTGCTATGGATGCAAACGTTCTCAGTTATTCATTGTTGGAATACCATTTGATACCATGAACTTTGAAGCTGCTAGTCAAAGTAGGGATTGACATTGGTGCTTGTAAATAGTAAATAGTTGTTCATTACAACCTGTCTTGTTCTTATTCCCCCCTTACTGTTTTTACTGTCACTGTTTATTTGTATTCATTGTAACAAATTTAATTTTGCCTCTATGACATATTAATACATTTATTATTATAATGTTCATTTTTTTTTGTTCTAATGTTTAAACCCATTTTGCAGATCTAGTGAAGAGAAAAATCATGGTTTTAGATTTGGATGAGACATTAATACATTCTCAACACGATGGAGTGATAAGAAATATGGTCAAGCCAGGGACTCCACCTGATTTTGTTTTAAAGGTGAGTTTTTAGTCAAGATTTCTTTTTTCTGTTATCAGGGAATAAGAAAGGGCCTGTCTGTTTTATCATATTTTGTACAACGATTCTACTCCAAACTACACATAAACACTACATTTCCTATTGCTGTCATAATTAGTAGATAAATAACATCCTTCTAACTGATAACACATTCAGTCAACTTAGCACTAAAGTCAGAAAAACATGCATATCTCTCTTGAAAGCACTCGTATATGTTAGTGTATTCAAGTCTTAATGTGAGGAACACTAGCAGTGTTCCCTCTTTACAGCATGGCCGCACAACAACCAATCAAGTGTCGTGCACCTAATTATTCCTGCCGTGCACATATTCATTGACAGCCTTAATGACCCAGGCAGTCGATAGGCCTAAAGCCCAAATAACCATCTGGTAGCATTACAAAGCAGCCTAATGATCCAATAGGGTCGATGGTCTAAAAGTACCACCACCTCTAACAAAAACTGGTAGCACACATCCGCACATTGCCTTGATAATGGTACACAGGGAAAAAATTCATTCTGCACATTCTAAAATACTCATCTATTAGGTCGTCAAGAAGTTAATGTTGCATTTTGGAACACTTTAATTAAACATCACATTAGTGTAGCCTCTATAATGTGTGAAGTTTAGTATACTCTAATCCCTTTTAGTGATGGCACACGACGAGACACACATTTGGCATGTAATGCTGTTTGAATACAAAAAGGGAAACAATGCCTCTGTAGCCACAAAGAATATCAAAGAAGTTTATGGAAATGTTTTGAACATTCGTAAGTGTCAACGATGGTTCAGCAAATTTCATTCAGGTGACTTTAGCCTTAAAAACTGTGATGGCAGGAGTCAACATGTTGCAATTGATATTAATGTTCTGAAGACGCTTGTTGAGTCTAACCCAAAGTAACACACTCGTGAAATGGCCCTGAAATTGCATGTCTCTCACGAAACAATACGTAAACATCTAAGAAATATGGGAAAACTCCATAAAGAAGGTGTTTGGGTGCCTCACAAAATCTTTGGTGATCATCGTTTCCAACGTGTGATTGTTGCTTAGTCTCTTCTGGCATGTAATGTGCGTGAACCATTTTTGGACAGAATTGTCATTGGTGATGAAAAATGGAATCTCTAAGAGAATATTAAATACCAAAAACAATGACTCAGTCCTGTACAAAAACTACTTCTGACCCCAAAACCTGGACTCCATCTGCAGAAAGTGATGCTTTGCAATTGGTGGGACATCAAAGAAGTAATTCATTTCGAACTCCTTAATCCACAGTGAACTGTCAATGCAGAGATCTATAGTCAGCAACTGGAACATTTAAATCAAGTTCTTCATCAGAAATGCCCTTCACTCATCAATCAGAAAGGTGTTCTTCTTCTCCACGACAATGCACATCCACATGTGGCACGTTTGACGCAACACAAGATTATGGAGTTGGGTTGGGAAGTTCTCCCCCACCCACCCACCATACTCTCCAGATATTGCACCATCAGATTACCATCTTTTTCATTCGCTGCAACACCATCTTAATGGAAAAACGTATACAAATGTGGTAAGTGTTAAAGAGGACATTGACATGTTTTTTGCTTTAAAGCCAAGTGATTTCTTTAATCAG